TGGAATATTCGCTCTGTTGACGGTTGTGGAGAGTGATGGGCCAGTTCAAGCGGCAGCCGTAAGAGGAATCGTTTCCCATGATAAGCCAGATCGCTGCCCGAGATGGCTCTCTCGAACATGGTCCCTGGCTCCCTGACCTAGTAGATCTACCTCTCTCTCAGTGGACTACCGTTGCTCGTCGTTCCATATTGTCGGCCCCGCAAGGGCACACGTGACCATAATAGCAGTGTTTACCAGGACAAGGACCAGGTGTGTGTGTGTGTGGATTACGCAATTACCTGGCGCTAGTCTTGATCTTCTTCATCCGAATTGTAGTGTCATGTGACTAGATGCATGAAGCTCATGCATACATGCATTCCGATATCATTCCCCTCATCATGATCCACTTACATGATCTAGCATTCCATTCCTCATTCCCCCTTTAGCCCGTATCTATATACATGAATCTAATACGTTCGGGCCTGATGTAAGTCTGGCTTTGGAAATTTTATTTTCATTGCTATCAGGTTCGGCCTCATTCCCTCTGTGCTGCGCTAATGAGTTCACAAAAAACGAAACAGCATGTTGTCCTCAGATTGAGTACATGTCTCTAGTAGATTGCATGTCTTCTAGGTTTGTTGTCTCATGGTAGTACAACAGTTAGAACTAAGGTTTTGGCTCTCTGGTTGGTCTGGTTAGACTAAAGTACGAAACACTACATAGTGACAGCGGTCCAGAAGCCATGTCTTCTTCGGACTCCAGCTCGATTCAGCCCGCTTCTCGCGGATCTTCCCCCGCCCGTGGCGGAGGCAGCAATGGTGGTTCAGGTAGCTCCTCTGGTGGAGCGCCTTCTACGTCTTCTTCGGTGCCGGAGCCCCAGGTTTCTCTTCCGGGGATGGTTCACCTCTCACAGGTGTCCCCTCCATCATCGTTCAATTTCCAGGCTGCGGATCAGTGGGACCGCTGGCTGCGTCGTTTTAACCGCTATCGTCAGGCGTCTGGTCTTCACACCCAACCGGAGTCGGTCCAGGTGAACTCCCTCCTCTACACGATGGGCGAGCAAGCTGACGACCTACTGGACAGTTTTAAATCTAACTGAGGATGACGTGAGTACGTTCACGACAGTCACTGATCGTTTCAACGACCACTTCGGCAAGAAAAGAAATTATGTGTACGAACGTGCATGTTTCCATCAGCGCACCCAACAGCCCACGGAGTCACTAGATGCATTCGTGAATGATCTCTACCGCTTGGCAGATAGGTGCAACTTCAAGGCCATGCACGATGAGATGCTCCAGGACCGTTTGATCGCAGGGTTACCAGATGCACGTCTTTCTGTACGCCTGCAAATAGATTCGGATATGCCGCTGGAGAGGGCGCTGACTCACGCTCATCAAAGCGCTGCCATCAAGGAGCGACAAACGAGGGTACGTGCAGCAGCTGATGAGGGGGCGTTGCTGTTCGCACAGTGAAGAGTCTGTTCCGTCAGGATACTGATTGGCACCTAGCACTACTCGCGTACCGCAACACTCCCTTGAAGAATGGTAATAGTCCAGGCCAGCTTCTGATGAACCGCCAGCTACAGTCACTCCTACCTCTCTCTCTCTAACACAGCGACAGTCGCATCCAGTCGATCAGAGCGACCTGCGTGCCGCGGATCAGCGCGTAAAGGATCGCCAAAGCGCCAACCATGCCAGTCGCCATGCAGCCCGGCCACTGCCGTCTCTATGTCCCAAACAGCCTGTTTATCTACCTGATCGTGAAGAGTCTGGCCATCTGATGAGCCAACCGGCCTTGCGCTCGTACATCGTAGCCACCCCATCGGGCCAGTACAGACGCAACCGGCGGTACATCGTCCCAATGCCAACGCCGCAACAGTTGCCGCCTGCTGGTCACTCGGCCGCTACTACCGATCCTGATCCCCCAGCCAGTCAACCCCCAACTCCGCCATGTCCTGCAGTTCCCAACTTACCATCGACCCCTCCGGCTCAAGACCAGCCTGATAAGAATGTCAAGACTCCCGCCGGTGTCGTTCAAGCTCCAGATCGCTTCTAACTTTGGTCTCTACGAACAGAACACGCTACTCTTCTGTATCTCCCTCTCTTGCTCGTTCTCTTTTCTAATGGCTTGCATGTGGCCGTGTGTCCTCCGTACACCCCTAGGTCTGTTCTTTGTAGAAGTAGAGAATATACGTATACATGTACAATGCACTCTACTAGAATACTCCCTCGGACAGACAAGTGCTCACGGAGCTCTGTAATGGATCCCTTCTGCAACGGTCGTATTGTTTTCATTTTCAAAGTAGTCCAGTTAGGTTTCTTCTCCATCTTCTCTTCTCCATCTTCTTCATCTTCTCCATCTTCTTCACCAGACCAGTTTTTATTGGTGCGAATTACTTTCCTTCTCCATCCTCTTCTTCATCTTCTCCATATTCTCCATCTTCTCCATCTACTGCTATATTTGCTCTTACAACCTCAAATAAAGGAAGGTGTAGTGTCATGTGACTAGATGCATGAAGCTCATGCATACATGTGTTCTGATATCATTCCCCTCCTCATGATCCGCTTACATGATCTAGCATTCCATTCCTCCTTCCTCCTTTAGCCCGTATCTATATTATCTAGTACATTGCAGGTTCTTTGTCTTGTCGTAGTACAACAGTTTGAACTAAGGTCTTGGCTCTTTGGTTGGTCTGGTTAGACTAAAGTACGGAACACTACACGAATCGTGTCTGCTATAGTTGCTATGAGAGAAAATCTGAGGGCACACATCAAGGTAATTTGCAGATTTACGTGCTTCTTTTGCGATCTGACGATGGGTGACATGCCCAAAACGTCAATAAATTTTCAACATCTAAAAGAATTTTCATCTAAAGAGTGAATAGCAACTAAATGGAGCGGTTGTCAATTGACAAACCCCTTTTATTTACAATGCAGTTGCGTGATGTCCACCACTTTCTGAACGTTCTTTTGCGAAGGGTGTATATAATCATGTTTGAGTGGATTTTTTGGTTGGAGGAAAGCAAATCAGCACACGAAGCACAGAATCATATATTTTTGGGACTAGGCCTTACATTACATTACTCTTCAGGTGAAATACAATGGTGATTAACAAGTTAGTAAGCTGATATCATCATGTACATGCACATGTACACGGTAAGTGCATACACGCAGTCAGATTGTCAGATAAAGTGGTCATTGGCTGCTCCAGCCATATATTGCTTGGAATGAAACCAAAAAAAAACTAATACTATGGGTGTGTCGGAATAATTCCCTCCGACACGAAGAAGTTCTTGGCCCGGAGACTGCTACCTGATAGGCCAGACTGCAGTCTACGAATGCCCTGGAAGTACTCTCTTGGGGAGACCTTGCACGCTTTCAGGTGGTACAGGATGTTCATAGGTCTTGGGTCGTTCTATGCCGATGTACTCCGTGTGGTGTAGACCAGGTGTGCATTGGTGGTCAATTCACATGCTTCGAAGGTTGTGTGAGCTGTGGCAGTTCGCACGAGGCCATGGGTAAGCCTTTGCTGCCAACCTCGTCTCCAGAGAGCACCTTCTCAAGGCAGTGTCATGGTGGTGAGAGTAACTGTTGAGTGTAGTCAGCTGACGGGCTGAGAGAGGGACACCATGGGCAGAAGTTGGAAAAAGAAAGAAAGAAGTATAGAAAGAGAAGGAAGAAGAACAAATCAGAACAAACCCTACAACGTTTATGAGGACTGAGTATCAATATGATACGACTGACGATACAGCAACAAAAAGACAAAGGCACACCTTAGTGTAATGAGGGCAAGATTTAGCGGTTTCACTGTGAGGGTGCTAGCGCCTTGAATGGCCATTCGAAAAAATATATTTATCTCCGGACGACGCTCCAGAATCTCGATGGATTCCCAGATTCTTCTTGTGGACCTCCGTGTTTCCCCGGCCAGTACTTGGGCCTCGATGAAAATCACATCTGTGCTCTTGATGGTTCCGTGCTGCTGGTGACCAGTAGCCATGTGTTGCCCCACGGTTTGTCGAGCATCCTGTGACGTGCTTCGTAGTGGTGTTCCTCGAAACGGTCTCTCAGGCGCTAGCATCCTCACAGTGGAACTGCTATATCTTGCTGTGTCTGTACAGGGTTGCACACACAATGATTGTGGTACACTCATACCTCGTTTATCCGGGCAGTCCGGGACCTTGCACTGCCCGTAACTTTGAAATGTCCGTAACTCCGAATCATATACAGATTGATGGGGAAAAGGCCATCGATATGGCATATGACGTCAATATTTCTACGAAAAGTGACAAAAGAGTAGTAATATTTCCCCTGAAACTCGCCCAAATAATGCCCGGTAGACCGAAGTGCCCGTAACTTCGGGGTCCGGATAACCGAGGTATGAGTGTATACACTTTCGCACACATATTTCCTACGCTTTATTTGCTGAGCTACTACATAGCCACTCTTTCAGCGCACATCCCCTTGTCGGTTGTACTTGCAAACTCATACGGCTATTGTGCGTTTCGTTTGGTTTGCACATAGACATACATGTACAATGTACATACGCTCTCGCTTGATTTTATTATAGATGGCCAGGTTGGTCCCTAGTTAATTGTTCTTACGATGGGTGACTGGCCCGAAGCGTCAATAACTTTCGACATCACTAATAATTTAATAATAAAATATTTTTTCATTCAGCGCATGCGCCTAGAGATAGTTGCAACTAAAGAGAGCGGTTGTCAGTTGAAAAACCCCCTTTTATTTACAATGCCGTTGCGTGATGTCCACCATTTTTTCTGAATGTAATTATGAAAAATATTGTAAGCTTTAAATTGTAGTGGATTTCTTTTTTTCTCATGTTCGATTACATTGAAAAGAATATTGTGTAGCAGTAGTGAGAGGATATGCGGAGCAACGGGATGCGATAGCGCCCAGGGTACTTCATTATTAACTCAAGACTCACCCCGTTGAGCAGATTTGGCAAATTTCTGAGTTGAATTTTAATATAGCGCACGTTATAATAGCATGTTGTATAATTTAATTTCGAGAATGGATGCTCCAAAAATGTAACACATTAATTTAGGAGAAAGGAATCCCGTATGTACATGTACATGGTACATATACATGGAAATGTACATGTATATGAAAATGTACATGTACATATACGTGGAAATGTACAGGAAAATGAAAATGTACATGTACATATACGTGGAAATGTACAGGAAAATGAAAATGTACATGTACATATACGTGGAAATGTACAGGAAAATGTACATGTACATGTACATGTACATGTATACGCATACAATGTACACGTAAGTGTTACTTTGTAGATGATAGTCGTGCATATGTCGGAAATGGAGAAAATCTAAATGCATATCTGAGAAGTTTTCATTCACTGCTTGCCTACAGTACAGGCCCATTGGTCTCGAGCCTTGCACGGTCTAATCAACAGTTATCATTGGAGCTAGTGATCACATCACCTGCAATAGTGTTATTTCAAGGTAGAAGGTCTTTGGTATAATTCCAGTGTTAGATGAAATTTTGAAACCGGCACAACCGGGCTATTCTCTTGTTGGAGTCAGATATTCTTTCAGCGATTATGAAGTCAGCATCAGGACGTTCCACTTCAACTTTGGTCACGTTCATCGGCCACAAGGATGTCTCGTCGATCACCGGCCGTCGCTTGAACAGGGTAAAGACCGCTTGGGGCACATCTATCCAAGCTGAATTCACCGTAACGCGCAGAACAACATCTATCCCAAGACGTCCAGCATCAACAGAGCAATTTACTCTTTCTTGATCAGCAGCAGAGTAGCATACACCGCCCAGGGCCGACTGTAGCACGTTTACACTGCAGCAGCTGCATGTTCGTTGCAGCATTTCGCGAAGCGCCGACAGAAGCTCCCAACGTAGTGCAGCCTGTACATTCACAAACAAAAGACGTGATTTTTGAATTGAAAAATTGCCGTTGAATTCAGCAATTGTTTGTAATCAGACTATGAATGATCTAGAAAGGCAGCACCAGTGTTAAGGGTATTTAACAGCCAAAACCGGGTTGACTTGCGTCTCATGAAAGCACTGAATGAAATATTGTCTTCCTGTTCTTACTATGCTGACAGAACCCTGTGGACACCGGACCCGCGAACAGCCGTCGGCCGACACCAAGTTCAATGTGATCTTCCAGCTGGTCGCACGGAAGTGTGTCACTGGACAAGGGAAAGAGAGAACATGAGAGCAAATACTACAAGTTTGAGAACAGTAATTGAGATCTGCCACATCATGTGAATATCTATTGTAATCTTGAGTTTGGGCTGCTCCACATAACAGATAGACTACAGTGCTGGCAACTGAAATTAGACCCCTGAGCGGTGCGTTCACATTCTAGCCGTCCTTATCTCGTAGTTTTACCATCCCGAGTTAGGTCTTTGCGATGGGAGCGCACCGCTCAAGGGTCGGATTTCAGTAGGTCTTGGCACAGTAAGGGCGCGTTCAGACTACCGTGAACCCCGTCAAACCGTGAATGCCGATAAACCGTGAAGGACATTCACACAACCGATAACAAACTAACGTTACCGTGAAGTTTTCAG